CTTTTTTTAGAATATCCTGCAATACTCTCTGTAGAGTTGAATTAGTGGTTGCAAATTCCCCCAGTTCCTCTTTATCCTGGAAGCACCTTGTTTTTCCATCAATTTCCAGGGACAGTTGTGCAGGATATCTCAATCTTGGCTGGAGATTATTATCTTTCAAAGTTTGAATTATTTCCCCCCACGCTCTTCGTGATTTGATGGTTTGTGCAGAGAAATCTGCTGTAATTCTGATGGGTGTTCCCTTGTAAGTGGTCTGTTTCTTGTCTCTGACAGCTTTCAATATTCTGTTCTTGTATTGAATTTCTGGAATTTTTATTATTATATGCCTGGGTGTTGCTCTGTTTGGGTTGTAGGTAGCTGGGGTCCTGTATGCCTCATACATCTGAGTGTCTTTACCTTTTGCTAAATTAGGAAAATTCTCTTGGATTATTTCTGTGAGTAGCTTTTGTAGTTCACTTGTTTGTGTCCCTACTTCTTCTTTTATGTTCTTAATCCTTAAGTTATGGATCCTCTTATCATCTTCTTGTCTTTGTATTATTGCTGTTTGTTTCTTTGTTATTTTTAAGAAGTTTTTCATTTCATTCTCCCATATTACAAGTCTGCCCTCCAGTTCAGATAGTCTGTCCTTAGTTTCTTTCAAGCTGTTATGCCAGTCTTCGATAGACTTCTTAGTTTCTTGGTAGTCCCTTTGAACCTGCTTCACGTATTCTATGCTTTCTCTGTTTTCTCCATCAAACAATTCTCCCCTCTTTTTCTGTTCTTCCATTCCACCATCTGTTTTTTCTTGGGTGGTGCTTAGTATTTCTCTAACTATTCTGCATACTTCTAGCTTCAGGTCATTGATAACTTCATTCCTGAACTGATCTATGAGGCTCTCTATATGGCGCTTTATGTCTATTGGTGCGGTGTCTGCTATTGCCTTTTTCTCAGAATTGGGGGCTGAGGAGCCTTTCTTGTTGCTACCTCTTCCCATATTCTCTGTTCCTTATATATGCAAGCTTACATAGGAGGCCCAGCTTCTCTCCCTGTCAGCCACAGCCTGATCGAATTGCGCTGGCTAGGTGTTCCCGCCCACCACAGTGCACCAGGGAGTTAGGCAGCCTACACAGGGCCCGCCCCTCCCGGCCACCGTCAGGCTCTGGGATCTGGGTTGGGCCAGCCTACGGAGTCTGCCAGCAGCATCACGCAGGCCAGGCACTTTTCACCAATCCCGCCTGAGAGGGGGATGTGTGGCTGGAGTCGCCACCGCGCCCTGCTCCCGCAGGACTGCCCGGGCCCAGAATGTCCTCCGCTGGAGTCAAACTGTGGTAGAGTGTCAGTTTCTCTCACTCACCTCACCACAACTCAGTGCACGCCTCCCTGCCCATCCTGTTTTCGACTCCGTTCGCAGACTCCCGTTCTCAGAGCTTCCGCGCGTCTCTCTCCTTGCCGAGCTGATGTAGAGGCAGCCGCCGCATGGCGGGAAACCCAAATCGCGGCTTCCAATGGCGCGGGGTCTAGCCTCCACACCGAGGCTTTTCTGTTCCTGCTTTAGCACCAGGACTGCATTCCAAGTTGGTTTCTCTCAGCCCAGTTCGTTCCTGAGTCAGCAGAGCATATCTCCACCGGCTTATGTCCCCTTGCTCCGCACCCTTCTTGACTTGTGAACCAAGCCTTTCAGAGAGCCTCCGTAGCATCTGTTATCTGTCCGCCATGTTCTCCCGGAAGTCCATATATAATTTAATTTTTAACAATGACTGCATTCAGCATCCAGCTCACAAGCACATCCCAGCCCCTTCCTGGGCTCAAGGCTGTGGCCCTGGCTGCCTGGTTAACATCCCCAGTGTCCTGTGGACACTGCAGTGCAAACACACCCATACCGTGCCACTGCGAAGTCCCAGTCTCTCTCCATCTTCTGCCTTCCCTGCCTTCAAACTGCATCTCCCTCCACGCAGCCCCTCACATGGGCCCAAAGCGAGGCCTCACCTTCCTCACTGCTCTCCTGGCCAGCCACACAGGCAGAGACCCCTTAGCTCCCGTGCACAGCTGGTGGCATCGGGTCCTTCTCACTACACCAGTCGTCTTGCACCTGGATTCCACTCCCTGCCCCAGCTGTCCTCGCCCCTTCTCTGCACACACGAGGGATCCTGTCACAGCGGCCTTGCCCTGAACACCTTTCCTGTGAACTCACTCTCCCTCGAGCTGACGGAAGCTTCCGGCCCTTCCTGCCCGAGTCCTCTGCCCCAGGTCCACAAAGCACTTGCTGGGGCCCCACCACAGCTCCCACTTCGATCTACTCTGCACCTCCTTATGGTGCCCTGTCGCACCCTCCTTAAGGTTGTCCTCCCTGATGTCCTTCAGCACTCTGGCACTCACCTGCTGATGTGCCATCACCTGTCACTGTCCTGCTCTGAACTTGGCCAGGCAGGGAGCAGGACAGCATCATGGGGCTGGGAAGAAGGAGTCCTCCTTGCTCCTCACCCTTAACAAGGTGAGGGGATAGCTCCTGGCAGAGCTCATGGGGCACCGGAGGACAGGGTCCCCACTCAAACATGTGGCTCTGCTCTGGCCACCTGGCCCCTCACACCTTCCTCCAGGATCACTGGCCCTTTCCCTTAGGCCCTCCCAAATCTTCCCAGGGCTGAACCCTCTCCCCAGTTTCATTGACTCGATCTCCATGCCTGTGTCAGGCCTTGGCTTGGGAAGCCTTTCCCCGACCCTGACTCAGTCAGGCCTGCTCGGTGCCTTCACAGTATGGCTCACACTGGGCCTGCACCCACCGCACGGGGCTCCTAAGGGCATGGCCTGTGACTTCACTTCAGAACCATGGGGCCCTCATGCAATCAGTAACACGTGGAGGGAGCATGAATAAACGAATGAATCAATTTCTTAAAAAAGCCTGAAGGAACAGGATGGGGACCTTTATCCACTCCCCATCTCTGTTATCCTCTCTCCGAGGGCCAGGATGAGTCCAGCCCAGGAGTAAGGCACTGGCCAGCATCCTCAACCACAGCCCTCTGGTTATCCTAAAGAGAAGGACAGGGGTGAGGGAAGAGGAAAGATGCCTTCGGGCTCAAGCAGAAAGAAGCTGCCTCGCCCGTGTCCTGGTGGCTGCGTAACAGTGATCCAGGGCACCGTCCCTATAGAGAAGAGGGCCCCTCAGGCCTGCAGCCAGCAATCAACACTAACCTGGGCAGGGACTATCGGCCCCTGCCCCGCACACAAGGAGCCGGAGCTCCAGGTCACCTGCTGGCTTGAAGCACCCAGGACAGACACTGACTGGCCAGACAGGCTCCTTCATGCCCCCTAATGCCAACTGGGATGGAGGGCAGAAGGCGAAGCTGCTGCACTTGGCCAAGCAGGGTGGCACCAGCCACAGCCCTCTGGTTGTCCCAAAGAGCTAACCTTCTCCCGCCTTCTCACCACAGCCGGGTGCCCTGTCCTCTGCCCCAGGGCCTCCCAGGAGCTGCCGGCCCCAAGTCTCCCTTGGCTGCTCCTGCGTTCTGCCTGCTTACCTGAGGCCGGGAGGGCACCAGGAGCCTCAGGCAGGTCTCTACCGGCAGAGTCCTCTGGCACAACCCTCGCCATACTCTAGATCAGCACCTGTGGTTACAGAGGCCGTGAGCACTCTGGGAACCCCCAGTTGTCACCCACGATCACCCTAAGGGCCCTTGCACAACCTCCCCCACAGCACCGCACATTCTCCCCGGGCCTGCTCCACAGCTCAGTGTGCCTCTTCGCAAGGACAGCCTCATTCTCCTGAAGTCCACCTTTCCCTTCCCCAGACTTCTTTCTGAGCCCTGCTCTGTGTGGACACAGCAGCTCTGCCCTGGCGCCTGCCTCCTCCACTGCCTGACCAAGGGCCAACACGGCTTTCCACAAGCCCAGTGTCTCAGCTGGATCTCCAGCTGTGTGGCCCAGGCCAGGCACTGAACCTCCGTCCCTCTGGAAACTGCTCGCAAGGCTGGAGAGGCTGCAGCTGATGGGCTGGGGCACCCTGGCTACCCTGTGTCCTCGGAGGTGTCTGACTCCACAGTGCCTGGCTCTGCTCCCTGCAGGGCTGCCTCTCCTGTCACACACTTCCTGGGTGTTGAGGTATGAGGTGAGCAGAAGAGGAGTTGAGGAGAACCAGGAAGGGGACTCCAAGAAAGGCGCCCACCCGCTTACCCCCATGTTTCTCTGGGCCTCAATGTGAAGCTGATGTGTCTACAAGCTAAGCCTGGAGCCAGAGAGGAAAGGCCTGACCCAAACTACCCTCCTGCAGGCAGGAGGGGCTGCCCGAGCCAGCAGGAGCAAGCCTTTGGTGCATTAGGAAGGGCTGAAAAACAAACGCACCAGAATCCAAATCAGGAAAGCCCACAGCTGGGGTTGCCATGGCAACTTGCAGCAGGCTCCTGGCCTGGCACTCAGCCTCTCCGGGCTGGGGGCTGAGACGGATGGAGGCTGGGACTGCCAGGCCTGGCTGCCCGGCGCCTCTTCGGCCTCCCTTCTAGACATGGGCAGGAAAGGCTCAACCAGGTTCCTGCCGCTGGCTGCAGCCTGATCACTCTTCTCCCAGAGGCCCATACCCAGCATTCTTGGGGTTAACCAGCCCCTGCAGCACCCTTCTAGCACCCAGCGGAGCACCAGTGGGGAGCTGCTCTTGGGCTGGGTCAGTGCCAGTGGCCTTGAAGGGGTTTCTTTAGCATGGGCAGAGGGAGCGGCGAGACACACCTCCAACCTTTGCTCACAGCCGGGGTGGGGAAGGGCCAAGTGGGTGTCAGCACCGCTACAGTGCTTTATGCACAGCATCTCTCACTGCAGTGCTTTCTCTTCTGGCAGATGAAGCGTAAGCCCAGAGAAGTTAGGTGACTTCCCAAGGTCACAGCGCTGCTGCCTGGTAAACAGCCAGAGGCTGCCACCTCCAGGACTGACCATTTGGGATACCACCAGGTTCCATTCCCAGTGGCCCCTTGGGGCTTCCCAGGCACAGCCTCCAGCTGTAGGACTGAGCCAGGTGTACACAGGCATGGACACGGATGCAGCCTTCATGTTTTGTTTAATAACTAAGCTGGCCATCCCCGGATTAAACTCACAGCCCACAAGGCAAATCCTGCCGCGCCTGATGTCCTCTGAGAAGCCCACCCAAGCCAGTGCCCTGGCCTCCCTCGCAGTGCCCCAGTCCATCCAGTGTGGGGGCGGCAGCCTCATCTCAGCTCCCTCAGTAAGCCGTCAGTGGAGCCCAGCAGTTCCCGGAAATAGCCCTCGTCTTCACCTTCTTCGAGCTCCAGGACGGCCAGAGCCTGGTACTCGGCCTGCAGGCTGGCCAGCGTCCTGCCGAGTTCGGGGTCCTCACGGTAGTGGTCCCTGCAGGTGGCCATGAGAGCACCCAGCGTTTGCAGCACCTTCTCACGGGCATCGTGTTCAGGGAGTGCCAGCAGGTGGGCCGTGATCTCACACCAGCCCTGTTCCCGCAGGCCCGGCAGCAGGTGCACCTGTCGGTACTGCTGCAGCTTCTCTGGGGACATGTCCTGGGTCAGCTCGGCCTCCTCCTCCGCGAACATCTGCTGTCCGCACAGCCAGGAAGGAAGGGTGGGATGGCAAGGAAAGAAGACAGAGTGGTCAGTCACACCAGGCTGTTCTGCCCCTCGGGTGCCGAGAAGTGAGGCTAAGCCGGGCGGCCAGCCTGCTTCCCCTGCCCATCCATCCACCTCACACTGCCCATCAAAACACCTAAGCCCTGTGCCGGGTGTTGAAGAAACCAAGATGGCTACGTGGTCCCTGCTCCCAGAGTCTAGCAGGAAAATAAAAATGCCTGAATAGCTTGAGGATCTAACGGTGCAGTGTGGGCAGATGGCCAGGCTCCACTGCCTGTGCCTTGCAGACGCGGTGAATCAGCGTGAGCTGGTCTGCAGCCTCCCTGAGACCACGGCCATCATCTCCCAGGGAGACATGGGGGCTCTTTGGGATGCAGGGAGCACTTGGGGGAACACGGCCAGTACCCAAACACAGTGCTCTCAATGGCGTGAGCTTCGGGGTCAAGTATTATGACCGCAATCGTCGGCTTCACCAGCGTCGCCACTGTAGGAATCCTCACCCTGGTACCGTGTCAGAGGAGTGGCCCAAGGCGATAGAGTGTTAGGCCAGGCCACAAAGGGTCACAACCAGCCTGGGCCCACCTTGGTCTGAGAATGGCAGGTGGTCCCAGGGCCACGCTGGGCCTGTGAAGGGGGCCTTTATGCTGAGCTGAGGGAGAGTCTGGGCAGCCAGTCGCACGCAGCCTCTGACTGCAGATCTAGCAACTCAGCTCTACCTGCAGAACCTGTGGGAACCAGCACTGCAGGCTGCCAGGCAGGAACCAGCGTATTTTTAATGCCAAGGGAGGCTGTGGGGGTTTCCCAGGGGGATGAGCCGGGAGTGCCGGCAAGGACCAGGGGCTGTGGGGCACCTGGTGACACCACGGCCACAGAGGTGAGGCTAGCAGCAGCACGGGGCTGTGGTCCCTTTCCGCCCTATTTCTAACTCCTGCCAGTTCCCCGCCTGAGTCCTCTCTCTGCCTCTGTTGTGTACCCTGCCTCTTGCAGGGTATCTGTGGTCCCCTCCTCCAGGCCCTACCCAACCTCACCTGGCCCCTGATGGCTGCCAGCCCCAGGCCCTTCACAACTGGCTGGGGTTGTGGTGTCCATCATTTTTGGCATGGTACAGGGAACCTAGGTCTTTGTACTGCCCTATAACCCCAGACCATTTTTATTTTGTATTTCAAGACACACTCTCCTTAAATTGCTAAGTTGTTCAGGCTGGGCTTCAACTTGTGATCCTCCCTGCCTCAGCTTCCCAGAGTGCTGGGATTATAAGTGTGTGCCACTCCATGTGGCTGCACGTTGGCAGCTCTCACCCCTTCCTGGGGACTTTATGCCTCCGGGCCTCGGCCTTGCTGCCCCACAGCCATCTCACTCTGACCCTGCCCCACCACTTTCTCCTGGGCCTTTGGAGCCATTCGGACTCCACTGCCCCTCCCTCTTCCCTTCAGAGCCCAGGGCCACCGCATCCACAGCCCCTGCTGCGGGCCCCCTGGCTTCTGTAAGCTGGCAGAGTCGGGTAACATGGTCTGAAAGTGCTGCAAGGGCGACGGCTAGTGCGGAGCGCTTCCCCAGCACCCGGCCCAGTGCTGGGCGGAGTCAGCGCGCTTAGCTATTTACAACGACAGCATGTAGTCTCTTGATAGAGGCCACTGCGGGCCACAACACAGAAAAGGGGATGCCTGGGTCCCAGCCAATTCCAGAAGCAACAATGCAGTCTCCATGGGAATCCCCTGCTTCAGATGGTAGCTCCCAGCAGCCTTGGCCTGGGGCACACAGCACCCCTGTGTGATGCTCTGTCACCTTCAGGCACCCCGGGACCAGCCTGAATCTTGGCTCTTTTTGTCCCTTAGGAACTGTGAGAATAGAGAGGCCCTGAGTGCCCTGAGCTTGGCATGTGGGCAGCCCCCCAGCCCCGCAGCTCTCTGGCTGAAACTACCCGCTGTCTTCTCTAGAAGAGGATGGCCATGGCTGTCCCGTCCGCAGGGATGACAGGCCTTCTCTGCTTGACCAGGACCCAACTCCAGGGTTAGTGGCAGCACGGACACAGCCCTGAGACACTGGAGGGAAGAGAAACCAGTGTCTTCCAGGAAACGCCGATGTGCACGTCGTCCTCTGGGCCACACTCAGGGTATCAGTGGTGCCCGAGCCTTACTAACTGGCTCTGAGCACCACAGGGCTGCCTGCTGTCCTCAAACTAGATTTCACACCTGATCCTCTGCCTGGGCGAAGCCAGGGATGGGTCTGGTCAGGGTGAGAGCAGGGGAGGACAGGGTGGTCGGCAGCCTCCAAACTGGACAGCAGAGCCAGAGCTGCCCAGCCTGCTCAGCCAATCAGTTGCTGGCTGACCGTAGAACAAGGGCCCAGGAGAGACGGCTGTAAAAGCCCTGCCGGCATGCTCTGCAGCACATGGAGTACGAATCCAGGTCTGATTGCTTCTCTTTCATTTTTAACTTTTATTATTTTTTATTTTTTACTTTGAATAAAACCAAATGAGACAAAACAAAAGAATCAAAACAAAAGGACGAACATGGTACATGACTTTAGAACAAAATACAACGAGATCAATAATGGCTACCATAATGCCTCTTGTTATCTTCAAAAGAATTGCCCATTTCATTGGTTGCTTCTCTTAATTAAGATGCTTCTCAAGCTTTAAAGACCCAAGTCTCCTCCCAGGTAGCAAAGCCACAGGTCTCTGAGGCACTGGAGGACTGTGTGCTGAGCCCTGAGCTCACACTTCTGTGAGAGGCATCTCCAGCTGTCTAGAACCACAGGTCAGTCTGGACCGAGGCTCTGGCTCCGGCTGCGGAGACTCCGCTCACCTGCTCCATGTGTGCACATGCCCTTCCCTCCAGGAGGGCCCAACCTGGCTACTCCTGCCCTTGCCCTTGCAGATCCCTTCTTGCACACCAGCCCTGGCGCTGGCCAATGCCCCTTCCCATCTCCCCTCCCAGCACTCAGGTGTCAGCAGGGGTGTTGTGTCCATAGGACACCTTCCCTTGATGTTCCAAGGTTCCTGGGTCCACTCATCCATCTGGATAAATGGCCTGGGTGGAACAGCCAGAAGCAAACACAAACCACGTGTTTGGGGGTGGGGAGGGAAGGTAGGTCGGGGTACTCACCTTCTCAGTGACCAGGTCATAAAGCAAGGTGATCACACGCACGGCCAGTACCTCTGTGCTCTTCTGTTGCACCAGGCTCTTGAGGACCTGCAGGCCCCCCAGCTTCAGGAACTGCTGCTGGGCATAGGGGAAATGGCGTAGCAGGGAGCACAGTGCAAACAAGACCTAAAGAGTAAGACCCAGGACAAACGAGGAGTAACACAGAGTTAGCCTGGCCCCAAGACCAATGAAGTGGCCAGAGCTGTCCCAACAACCTGTCTTTCCTGGTCCCAATACTCTTGAGTCCAGTTTCACCCCAGAAGCTAGGACTGTAAGAGTCAAGAGGGACTTCAGCCACCCTTGACATCGTTATGCGACATGGTGGGTAAAACACAAGTCCAGGACAGGAAGCTGTGGGTGGGGTCCATGGCTGCCCAGCTGGAGCTGCGCCCAGGCCCCCAGGTCCCAGACCCAAATACACTACACCTGCTGCAGTTGTGACCTCCTTCCGTGCCCCTCACTGGATGGCTTTCGGGGTACTGGGGATAGCATGCACAGGAAAGGAGCTCACCAGTGTACTAAGTGCTAGGCGGGAGGAGAGAGCAGACATTTACCTTTTTCTTAGCAGTGAGGGGCTGATCTGTGGCCAGAATGACCAGTAGCTTCTGCAGGGCTCCTCCTTCAATGGCCTCCACCTGGACCTTCGGGTTGCTGGGGGAGGAGGCGCAAGAAAGCATGACTGAGCACAAGGAACAATTCCCACCTAGGACAAGCTCAGACTCAGCTGGGGAGACAAAGCTAATGGGTATGGACAATCTACAGCACAGACGACAGAGCCGAGGCCCTACGCTGGCCTCCCATGCCCAGCAGCCAGCAGGCACTGCAGGTTATTCCACCGCTGAGGCAGCCTTTGAAGGTGCTACTGCTGCGTCTCTGGTGCAGAAAGACTTCCTTGCTGCTTGCAAGCCAGTGCTAGATGGCCCTTCCACGATGCCAGGGACATCACATTCAGGGGGTTGGGAGCGTCACTAACTGTTCTTTTAGGTATGGGGCTCCTTGAGAGCAGACGTAGGGTCCCTTTTCTTTGTTTGGTCAGCATCAGAAAATTGCAGAATACACGTGTGGGCAAAAGGCAGGTGGGAAGTGTAAGGCCCAGGGAGCTCCTGCTCTCCAAGGCAGGGCCTCTCACAGGACCAAGCGCAACCTGCCCTCTGGCCCTACATGACCAGCTGCCATGATTTTCCTGTGCCTGGATTCTCATGGCTCAGCACAGAGCCTGCCACATCACAGGGCCCTGCACAACAGGGGGTGAATGTATAAACACACGTTCAAGCAAGAGCGTGCCAGCAATCGAGCAGCCACACTCAAACACTCAAAACCCAGTGCTGTCTCAGGACCTCCTTGGCCACACCAGGCTGCAGGAACAGTGATGCCATTAAAACAAACATTCCAGGCCCAGCTTTCCTGGTGAAAAGGGATGCTGCCCTCCATTAGATTAGGCAGGGTGCCAGGCTGCCAACATGGCTGGGATCCCCAGAAAGTTACCTTTTTGTTCATCTCTTGCTTTCTAAGGTCACATAATGATCAAGTAAAGAGTGCATGCCTTAGCCTGGCGTGGTGGTGCATGGCTAGAATCCTAGCACTTAGGCAAAAGGATCGCCACAAATTTGAGACCAGCCTGAATTCACTACACAGTGAATTCAAGTCCAGCCTGAACTACACAGCAAGATCCTGTCTCAAAAGACAACAATGAAAAAAGAGCACATGCTAACAGACACCTGTATGTCAGGCCCTCAGGGAAGGCCAAGGCTCCACAACTCAGCATCCTTCTTATGGAGCCCCAGAGAGGACTGAGAACAGATGCACAAAAGCCTGAGGCCAGGAGCATGTGGAAGGCCAGGACAGGGTCAGACAGTGACTATTACACCCACCCAGACAGCCCCCCAAAAGGACTAAAGTTCACCAATGTGAGTGTAAATCTCCAGCTGCTTTATTTTTACAGGGTCACCAACTCCACTCCACAGCACCCACTCCTCATGACCCCATACCTCTTAACCAGGAAGGGCGGGGGGCCTGAGGGATCCTAGATGCCATGGCTCCCGGCCCTGACCTCAGCAAAAAGGGGAGGCAGGCAGCCGGAGCAAAGGCTTGACATGAAGCAGGTGCTCCTAAAAGCAGCCAAATAGAGTGGGGAGGTGCCTGAGCCACTCCCAGAAGACACCATGCCCCTTCTGTTCCTACCAGGAATCAGCCTCAAGGCTCAGAAGATTGGCCTGCAGAACCAAATTTTCCTGTTATAAACAGAAGGATCATCTTCTCCTGCACCCTCAGATGCTCTCAGCAGAAAGACGAGGTTGGGGAGCTCCACTCATGTGCCTGGGAGCAGCCTGGGGGCAGGCTGGAGCCCTGAGAAGGGAGCTCAACAGCTCCTCTCGGTAGGCAGGAGACCTGGCCCTGGAGCCAGAGAGCAGGGCCTCCCTCTTGCTGCCTGCCCGCCCACCCCTGAGAAAGGCAGCTGCTCCATCAACACATGAGCTAATTAGCACCGTCTCTGCCATCATGTGCTTGAGGATCGCTCACCCGCAACAGGCAAGTCTAGGAAAGACTACGACCATGCTGCAAAATTCACAGGAACATCAGATGCTGCCTCCTAGAGGAGGAGGGATGCAAGGCCTGACAGCTCATCAGCCTAGGGAGCACCTCTTTGGAGCCTCTCCCCATGTCCCTTGGTCCTACAGAGCAATAAAAACAAGGCCCCTTCAAGAATGCACACAAAGCCCTTCACTGAACCATCATGATGAGCGCAGCGAATCGCCCAGCACCGGGCAGCGAGTGTTCGTCCACTTTATATGCTGTCACCAGCACAGAGAGGAGGTCTCCTCTTAAATGTGTGGCTGGCAAGACTCAAGAGCTGTTTGCAGCCATGCCAATAGCAGCCCACCTCCCTTAGGCTGAGGCCCACCCTCTCCTGGGAGGGAAGCCATCCAGAGTAGGAGAGAATGGATTTCAAACACAGGGGATGCAAACCACAGAACAAGAGCTAGCTCCCCTCATCAACTGCTGAAGTCACTTTCACTGTAATAAACCCGTATCTACCTGCAGCAGAGCCCTGAAGACCCTGGCTGGGTGCAGGACTGTGTGCTGAGCACACACCTTGTTGGTCTGGGCCTGCGCCCGGCCTGGCCTTTTCACCAAAGCAACTTAAACAACATGCTGCACTGACTCTGGCCCCTACCCCAGCACTCTCACAGGGTAGAACACCCTTCCAGAGTAGCCTTTAGCGCTGCTGTCAAGAGGAACAAGCAGAGCGAGGGTGAGAAAGCCCCAGTTCGAGTCTCTTGATGGCTGTCAGTCCATCCAGATGGGGCAGCAGGAGCCCCCAAAGCAGACAGCAACCTGCTCCCACCACACACCCTCTCTCCCAAGGCCACCTAGCCTGATTCTCATGGTCCTGCTGTACACATTATGGGAGATGCCCAAAACAGCTGAGTGAGGTCTCAGGATGCACAAGGGCCAGACCCTGGGGGGCCCTCGGTGGAAATCCTGCAACAGTGGCCGATGACCTTGTACAAGTCCCTTGACTTGATTTCCCCATCTGGGAGGCAGATCTAAGAGTAGTGTTAAGGATGTATTAGATTACAAATGTCAAAATGCTAGCCAATGTAGTGTGGTCAAATTTTAATTACAGAGGCCACATGAAGAGGCCCATCCATACCCCTGGGAACACAGCTTCACTCCACTTGGAGATCTCAAGCATGTCCACATCATCCACAATGCTCTCCAGCCCACAGGCTCTCGCCTCCCTGGAGAGGGCTCACTCCTGCTGGTTGTAAGGTGGGTATCCCAACAATTGGGGATTTCAGTGAGCTGAAAAGCCTGCAGCCTGGTGTGCTTCTCAGTGACACCAGTGGTGCTGGTATACTCAAAGTCAACAGAAGGATATTAAGGACGTAGCTCATCTCTGAGCGATAAATGAGAATAAACCTTGTTCAGGGCTAAGCCGGCTGGACTGAATAAATACCATTAGCGTTTGGATTACTAGGATGTTCACAATCAGCAGGCAAGTCAGCCGTCTGTGTACAGAGGGACAGCAGCAGCTGCTACTCTGTAAATCTTGAGGGGGCTGATTGCAGAAATGGAAATGACTGCATTTGCAGATGCCGGACAGTTTGGGTCAGGGTGACAGCATTATGGGCTAACTGCCAAGGGTCAGAGTCATGTTCTAGCAAACTAGAGCTGCGCAAGTATGTAGCCAAGAGTGAGGGTAGAGGAGCGGGCCTCAGGAGAGCAGCCAGTTGGACCAGGGGCCCAGGGACTGCCCTTCTCCATGCCTGGTACTCTGGGCTGGCTGTAGAATCTTTGGGTCTCCACATAATATGAACAACAAGGTCCGCTGTTCAAAGAGTATTAGGAATTTCAAGGATGGCAAGTGTATTGTACTGTTAGGGTTTATATCCACATGTGCCCCCAAAGCCTCATGCACTCAAAGAGTCGAGGCTTTGGGGAAGTGACTGGATCAGTGCAGCATGATACTCATTGGTGGGTTAGTCTACACAGGGGTGAACTGGCTAAGGTGGCGTGGGGAGGTGAAGCCTAGTCAAAGGTATTGGTCACTAGAGGCATGGCCTGGAAGGCTCTATCTCTTCTCTTCCTCCTCCCTTGATCTCTCTTTCTGCTTCCTGCCCAGCCATTCCCTTCTGCCAGGCCTCTGGGCCTTAAAACCAGCCAGCTATGGACTAAACCCTCTACAAATTGAGAGCCAGATTAACTTGTGGGTATTGAGTACTTTGTCCCAGCAATGAGATAATGACTGAGACAAAAATTAAACAAGTCTGGCCTTTTTGAGTGCAGGATCCTGGGTCACTGCTTACAACACAAGGCCACCAGGCTGTGTGCACAGCATTTTGTGTGTGTGTGTGCTGGGGATCAAACCCAGGACACGCAGGGCAAGGAACTCTACTACTGAGCCGCATCCCTGGCCCTTGCACAGCATTTGGGATACACAGAAACGCTGCTCAGGGGTGAACTGCATGTGTAAAGGAAACTGGAAAAGGCCGAGCTCAGGGACAGGAAATAAGGCTGAGGCTGACAGGTGAGGTAAATGTGAAGCACAGTTTTCACGGGCCGCACAGAGGGATGAGCTGTCTATGAGGCCTCCCTACACTTCTAGGGGGACAAGTACTCTTTCCTCTCATTCTCTTAACAGAGGAAAAACCATCACAGTTCAGAGATGCCCAGAGGGGACACCATGCACTTCTCTGGGGGATCAGGTTAACTCTGCACAATCCTGATGGGTGGAATGTGTGGGTCTCTTCTTGTCTGAAACAATTCTTTCTCAGACAGTCCCACCTTGTCTGTATCTAACACGTGGCCTGCTCATCTATGACACACAGATCTGTAGCATACACAATCCTGCAGCATGTATAATACAAGTGCTTTGTAGGGAGGCACTTTGAGAACAGGGGTGTAAGAGGGATCCACACTGGTCTGGCATCCAGGGATGAATGGGTGAAGTGATAGACAATTACCAACTTGAATAAAATGGAGTAAGTCCACCCCAAAATAAATAGGGCATCGACCTCTCCTACATGAAAGTCTCAGATGAAATAAAACATCTGGCTTACTACATGAGCTTCACACTACACCTGAGCGTGGTAGAAAGCACGCTGGGCACCTCTGAAGTTTCATGTGGACCTGGGGAAAGGCAGAGC